ACGAAAGACAAAAATAGAGAGTTTTACTTGTCATTTTATACGTGTTATTGGATCTTAGGTTTTAAAGGCTGGTAATAATTTTTGATTTCTTTTAGTTGGCTAGATTTAATTATAGCTTTAATATTAATAATAGCTGCATTGTTTTTAACAGGAAACGAACTGATAAAATCAACAAATGACAGCTAAAACCTTTGAAGTTTGATTCAATTCTCAGAATTTAAAAACCAAATCTTCATCTTTTTGTCCCAAAAAAAAGTTAATCTACACATCAACCTGGAGGCTCCAAACCCAATGTGATTCGGGGGCTATGGATTTTATTAATTTCAGGTACTTGAGAGAACTTGAAAAAGAGCAATTAGCCCCAAAAGATGGCTTTTTCGGTATTATTATAATGTGAATAAAGAACTCGAATAGTGTGATCCAGCAACTGCAACTTTTGCAACCATAGTTGCGTACGTATAAAGATGCAACATACGGAGACAAAAGTATTCATCCACATACAAGGAAAGGTAAATCATGTTTTTATTTATATAAATATTTTAAACTTTCTTTCACCACCCTTTTTGTTCCTTATTTAAAATTACCAATGGCATAAAATGGTATAGAATAAAAATCTAATATACCAACAAATCATGCCAATTAGCCAAGGAAACCAAGCAAAGAAAAAAATGGCAGGTAATAAATTACCTAAAAAACGAGATAGAAAATCCTACTCCGCCCAGAGATACCAAGCCAAAAAGCAAGAGTATCACGAGCGATATCTCAAAAAAAAGACCGAAAAAGAACAACAAGAAAAAGAAAACAACGCCCAATTATACGAAGCTGACAGCATTCAAGTTTTAATGTCTCTCAAAGAATACACGGAACTAAACCAAACAAAACAAAAACTTTGATTAGATTTTATTTGAACTTTTAAAGATTTAAACAAAACAGGCTTTTATGACATAATTCAGATACAGAAAACAGAGCAAGTAGCAAGCACTCTAATTAGAGATTACTATCAGACCGCCAAAGCCGAAAGAAAGCAAGGAGAGAGCTGAAACGACTTGACCGAGGAGGAAAAGAAAAGATTAATTAAATATTGAGGCCGGGAAAAAGCCCAAAAAGAGAATGAATTAAAAGGAGCACTAGAAGCCAAGAATAAGCAAGGAGAGAGCTATGAAAAAGAGATTGAAATAGTTAAATTTCATGAGGAGCGAGGGAAAATAAAGTGTTCATGCTATGACTGCAAAGCCAAAAAAGAAATCAAGAATCAAATCCAAAGAGAAATGCTTGGTGGACCAGAGAAGAAAGTTGAATGTCCCGAGTGTGGTAAGCGAGTTAAGGTATTAGACGAAGAAAATGGTATTTGCAAAAAGTGCGTTAAAAGTTATATTATTTAGCTGTTATAAAAAAATTAGTCCTCTAAATCTAGCACTAATTTCAGCCTTTCTTTGACTTCTTTCATGGTTTCTTGGTCTGCTATTCCAATATAATCTCCTAAACGAGTTGCTTTTTCAATGTTTCGTAAGCGATTAAATAAAAGCTTGCTGTCTTCGTCTAGCCCGTTTTTTTTATTGCGTTTAATGAAAAACTGATAGGGTTCTATGTTGTTTAATTCTTTGCTGCTTAATGGAACCACAATAATTTCTTCGTCGAACTCATTTTGGCTGTTATTGCTAACTACCAAAGAAGGACGAATTTTTTTCAGATAACTAGTAATTTCTAGTTCCCTTTCTTTACCTTTTTTAGTTTTATAATTGTAGTCTACTAGTCAGATTTCTCCTCTTTTTGGAATTTTCTCAATTGCTTTACTCATCAATGCCGTCTTCAACACTTCCTTCTCAAACTTTATCTTCTTTTTTCAGGGCTTTACTTCGAGCGGTTCTTTGATAGGCTTCTTTTAGTTCTTGTAATTTTTTTTTCTTGACGTATTCTTTTAAGAAATTATTAATAAAAGGGCTTATTTCGCCTTTTGGAACTACTTTTTTTGCTTCTTGGTAGACTTTTGGTTCGAGGGTTATATTTACATTCTTTTTCATATTTATAATTTT